TTTTTTTTTTGTTGTTTGGTAAGTCCTAGCTTCCTCATACTTGCACTTCATTATACTAAAATTGAATGGGCTAAAAAACGTTTTCTAGAGAGCGTAAATAGAAAGTGAATTATTTTAATGAAATTTTGCAGAATTTTCTTAAATTTTGCACAGGGTTTGGAACTCTGAATTTTGGGGATTTTGTTGTAGAATTGACCATATTTTTATAAAAAATTACCGAAAACTAAAATATTAAAAAAATAGTTGCCCGTATTGTAAAAAATTCGTTTTACCTAAACTTTATTGACTGACTGTATTAAGGTAGCTGTGGTAGATTGCATAAAAAATAATAATTTGTCTTTTCTTAAAAAAAAGTAACTCTGGTGGCTTGCATTTTTAAATAAATTTTGTGAGAAAGTGGTAATTATTTTGACACTTTTTTTTTAAATGCCTCTTTTTCTACACCTGCATTGCCTTTCTCAATTGTCCTTCAGGATCTTGGCCTTTTTTATGGAATCACTAAGTATAATGATTATTAAGCAACTCAAAAACTATACCAGCGTGATTACCGACGTATCCTTTTGAGAGGTAGCCGCACCCTTATAAGAAGAATAAGACCCAGACTTTTCTGGTCAAAATTTCAGTAGCTTGCGTATGTATGGCCTTTTCAACTTTATAAATTATCATTATTTTTAAGTGGAAAAATAAAACTCGAAATTAATGATAATCTCTGCGCGAAAAAATAAAAATCATAAAATAATCATTATTTGTAATCCCAAAAATAAAAATCAAATAATAATTATTTCCGTTTGAGCGAAAAACTAGAACTCAATAATAATTCATAACATAATGATTAAATGCTGATTTAAATTATTTTCTCATAATGATTACCTTCCCTGCGTTTAAAATTTAAAATAAAATAGTTTAATGAAAGTACCACATTTCATTGCTTTTGGGCTGGTGCGTGACTAGTTACTATCGGACTGGTTCGTTTTTGGCGAAAAAGAACTAGTACTGAACTAGAAATTTGGTTCACTAGTTCGTGTTTTCCCTATAGGGTACATATATACACATTAAATTAAGGATTCTTTCTCAAATTAATTACTGCAAATCAGGACCAATATTATTACTAAATTGGCGTAAGTATAAATTTTATGCGATACTCCACATCTGTTTGGCGTACTGCGGTTGTAGTTATTTGACGTTATTTTCACGATATGCCTTTGCACTAATGCATTTGAGAACATACCCACACTTTGATCATTACCTGTCATCTGATGAAATAACAGCTAACATCTTGGTACTGCATCTGGATCGAGGCGTCTTCTCTTGGCATTAATACTTGCATAAATGATATCATTCGATTTGAAGTGCAGAGCGCAAACTTTCGATGATCCAGTTAGTTTAATACCAGACGCATTCATCCAATCCCTTCCTTGCGTAACATCTGCTGGCACACGAAATATACCTACCTCATCGTTTTGGGTGCTTCTGCATAAACAGCAAGTATCGGGCATTTTAAACGATTTTTTTCTTTTTGTTCTTTAATTTCTAAAACAATTATTTTTTGATTTGAAATCAAAATTTTTTTATTTTGAAATTAATTTATAACGTTGCTAGTTTCAAATGGGTCAACGCAATGACAAAACCGTTGTCATATAAGCCACGATGCAGCGAACAAAGGCGGCGCCGTCAGTTGTACCGCTACTTTGGTTTTGCCGATTTTGACAGTTGTGGTAACTTGTAAATAACCCTTTGTTTACAAATCAGCGAAAAAGAAATTTTAATTATAAGAGAAAATCAGTTCAAATTGTGTTAATTTGCAATTTGTGAGTGATTTTTGAGTTGAGAACTGCGTAAAAACTAATACAATGAAGTGCCGTGTGTTAAATTTGGACAGCCGTCAAGATGCGAGATGCGTAGATGCAAATGTAGCGCTGCGACGAATCGGTGCATTTTGTGTACATAGGGCACGACAAAGCCGTTCTCGAAATGTATCTTTATTATTATATTGATAGCATTGCATCACAATGATTCTGTTTCTGCTCCACGCAGCCTCCATTAGCAAGTTAACTAATAAATCCCGCAGAGATGCAGTTTTCTGCAGCAGCCTTAATTGCAAAGCAATGGAGTGCACTAAAATGTTCACTGTCCTTTAATAGATTAGGTGAAAAATGCAATATTTTCACATTTAGAAAAATTAAAACACGTTTTTCGCTGTAAAGTGAACTGCTTTGGCAGTTTCACCTCGTTCTTCTTTTCGCTCCATTCTTTGTTTACTTGTGGTAGACAAATGTCAACGCCCAGGACGGCGCAATCTTGTATTCTATCATTCTTGCATATAAGCGTATAAAAAATAAATATGTCATATATTGATTTCACTCTGCTTATTACACTATGAGATAAACCAGTTGTATACACTATAGGAATTAGAAAATTTTAGTTGACAAAAAGAAGTACACGCAAAGGATTTCACAAAAATGAATTGAGATATTATTACTTTTCAAAAGTGCCAAATGGAAAAATTATATGCCATTTGAAGTAAAATACGGCCAGAAATGCCACGGTTTGAGCCAAGTTGGCAGCCCTGTTGTATACATTGCTACCCTGTAGGGAGAACACGAACTAGTGAACCAGATTTCTAGTTCAGTACTAGTTCTTTTTTGCCAAAAACGAACCAGTCCGATAGTAACTATTTCCGCACCAGTCCAAAAGCAGTGAAATGTGGAACTTTCACTAAACTATTCTATTTTAAATTTTAAAAGCAGGGAAGGTAATCATTATGAGTAAAATAATTTAAATCAGCATTTAATCATTATTATTGAGTTTTATTTTTTCGCTCAAACGGAAATAATTATTATTTGATTTTTATTTTTGGGACTACAAATAATGATTATTTTATGATTTTTATTTTTTCGCGCAGAGATTATCATTAATTTTCAGTTTTATTTTTCCACTTAAAAATAATGATAATTTATAAAATTGAAAAGGCCATAAAGACGCAAGGTACTGAAATTTTTACCTGAAAAGTTTGGGTCTTATTCCTCTTATAAGGGTGCGGCTACCTCTCAAAAGGATACGTCGGTAATCACGCTGGTATAGTTTTTGAGTTGCTTAATAATCATTATACTTAGTGATTCCATAAAAAAAGGCCAAGATCCTGAAGGACAATTGAGAAAGGCAATGCAGTTGCAGAAAAAGAGGCATTTAAAAAAAAAGTGTCAAAATAATTACCACTTTCTCACTAAATTTATTTAAAAATGCAAGCCACCAGAGCTACCTTTTTTTTAAGAAAAGACAAATTAAGTTTTTTTATGCAATCCACCGCAGCTACCTTAATACAGTCAGTCAATAAAGTTTAGGTACAACGAATTTTTTACAATACGGGCAACTATTTTTTTAATATTTTAGTTTTCGGTAATTTTTTATAAAA